CCCCCCCCCGGCCGCTGCCCCGATGCCAGGGCTGGGGGGGTCCCCTCGTGCTGGGGATGCCTGAGTGCTGGCCTGGCTGGGGCTCCCCCGCTGGCTGGCAGCACCGTGACCCCCCGCGGCTGTGGCCCAGGTGTTGGCTCTGGGCCACCAGGAACTGACACTTTCCATCACACGTCACACCCGGCTGCTAAAGGGGGCTGGAAGGGGGCTACCACTTCCCCGGTGGGACGCAGAGCAAGAGACCGAGGGAGGGATGGAAGAGGGGGTCATGTATGCTGATCTGCGCTTGCCCCCCGCACCAGGTAATGTCGTGCTGCTCCCTGCCCCTGGCACCTCAGCTGTCTTGGTGGCTCCTCTGCCCCTCCTGCAGCCCCTCACCCTCGCAGGACTGTTCCCCCAACCCGGCTTCCCTTTCAGGTGTCCTCTCCCAAACAGCTCCTTTCCAGCCCTGCTTTCCTAGCTGGGAAGTCCCCACTGCTCCCACCAAACCCTCAGCCCCTGTGTTAACTCCCTTTCTCAGCTCCCCAGCAGCCGGTGCGTCTGCCCTGGTGCTGGGCAGCCCTCAGCCTGGGTCTCCTCTCCCTGCTGCTGCTGCTGGCACAAATCATCCTGGTCGGCTTGAGCTTCCACTGTGAGTACCTGCTTGTGCTCCACCTGGTGTCTTGGGGTCAGGGTTGGCACCACGGGGCTGGTGTACCATCAGACAGAGCTGCAGCTCATGCACCAAGCTGGGGCCCTCCTGCCTGGGGCCAAGGGTGTTGCAGGTTCTGGGGCAAGCAGGAAAATCATTGAGGCAAGACCTCAGCTGCCTGGCTGGGAGAGGAAGAAAGGGCGACAGCGTGGGCTTGGGGACAGCACTGGGACATCCCACGCCATCACATGGCAGTGAAATTAAGACAGGAGGGAGAGAAGTGTCATAGAAACTGAAAGGCAGAAGCACTTTCCCCGAAAGCCTGTTGTGTCATGGGCTCCTAAGCACAGCAAAAGCCACAAGGACCTTGGCAGGCTTGGCTGGCTGGTCACCTAAAGGGGGTGATGCCCTTAGCCACAGTCGTGTATCTGTCCCTTGGGAGAGGACGCTGAGTGCTGCTGGGAGCAGGAGTCCCAGATTGGCAGGAAAACTCTCGTGCTCTTCCGTAGATTTAGGACAACAGGCGAGCTGCATCCATGGGCCCTGGAACATGGAATACAGGCCCACTGATGGGCAACTAGCACTGCAAGGTAAGACAGCTCGTTGAGTGAGGTTTGGAGAGGACCTGGCTGGTCCAAGGGGCAGGATCTGTCCCAGCTCTGGAACAAAGCACAAAGAGCTGCCCCAGCGCAGCTGAACAGGCTGTGCTGCAGGGACCCCTCCCCTTCAGAAGAGATGACCCCTGCATGGCTCAGCATCACCTGAGCAGGCCACCAGCACCAGGCTCCTTCCTGCCACAACTATTGGATGCTTGGGGCATCCAGATGGCATCAGACACTCTCTTTCAACCAGCCTCTGGTGAAGCTGAAACCTCAGCTGCATTCCCAGTGCTTTGCAGATGATGTTTGTTTGTATCACAGCCCCAAACCTGTGGCTCCCCTCCCTGGCCCATCTGCCCAATGCCCAGCATCTTCCTGTAACCAACCCATCTCCCCTGGGGCTCCAGCTGTGGAGCTAGGGCTGGAATGTGGGAGCTGATCTCCAGAATGAGAGCAAGTATAGTGTCCTCTCTGTGGAGCAGTTATGGGAATACACTGAGTTTGTTGGAAACATGGCTGCCCTTTGTCACCTTCCTGTTATCTGGGCTGGGGGCTGGTGACAGCCACTGCCAGCTGCTCCATCCAGGCTGTGTTTCTGGTGCTCAGGGAAATGCCAGTTCTGCCCAGCAGGCTGGGTTTGGGATGCTGGGTGGTGCTACTACTTCTCCTCTGCCAAAAAGAACTGGGAGCAGAGCAGCGAGGACTGTTGCTCCAGAGGGGCACATCTGGTCACCAACCGATCCAACACCACTCTGGTGAGTGCACCCAGTTTGGCCTTTCCCAACTCCCCACGGGCATCGGGCTGTGTTGGTGACAACCTCAAGGTCCCTCCGCTGTCATCCAACCATCACCACCCTAATCTCAGCTCCCTGGGTCTGATCAATGTGCCCAAACCCTAGCCAAGGCTCTGGGCAGGGAGATGGCAATGATGTGCCTGTGCTGCTCAGCTCCCATCACTTACTGGATGGCTGGGTGTCCCCTGGGGGAGCTCATGCAGGCCTTCTCTACTAGGCTTTCCTGGTGCACACAGCCAACATGAAGGTCTTCCACATGGGGCTGAAGTGGGATAGCTCCAAGTCTGACTGGAAGTGGATGGATGGCACCACACTGAACGGGTGAGGCTGTCGGCGTGTCCCCAGACAGCAGTGGGTCCAGCAGCACCAGGGCTGGGGGAGGTGAAGGGAGGACAGGCAGCTCACCAGCCTGCAGGGATGTGCTCCATGTCTTGGACAACTCTCCATCTACCCAGGAGAAACTTCAGGGAAGAGGGGATTGCAGGGTGCCCATGCCTTGCTTGGGTGAGGGGCTGGGGGTCCCCCAAAATCAGGCTGGGTGCAGCTGGTGCCAAGCCCTGCCAGGAGGGACCTGGGAGTGGTGCATGCGTGATGGGGCTGGGGGCTGTGTGCCAAACAGGCAGGCGTAGGGTGGGAGGAGGTCAGAGCATGTGTTCTAATCAGGAGGAGTGGGAGGTGGGTGAGCTCTGCTCCCCCAGCCCCTGTGCAGCCTCTGGTCCATGGCTGGAGGAGTTACTGATGGGACCCCAGCCCATCCCGTCTTGACCCACTCTCTCCCTGCAGGCTCTTCCCACTCAAGCGCCCCACCAGCTCCTTCCTGGGCTGTGGAAGGATGTCAGGCTCGGGGCTGTCCAGCGGCCTGTGCAGGGAAGCCCTTGGCTGGGTCTGCGAGCAGAGAGCAGTGTCCCTGCAGTGGCTCCACT